GTCTCACCCTGATGTCAAATATTCCAAATGCTACGTGCATGGCTTATTATTTAAGATAATCTGGCAGGTTTTGGAAGATCATGGTCTCTGCTGTGAAATTACACTACTGTTTTTCTAACCTGTGTTGTATTTCCAGGTGTACCATAGTCACTTCTGGCCACTGGAATGGACTGTTCCGTCCAGAGACAACAACAAATGCTACGCAAAGATAATCTGCAATATTCAAGATCATGTAAGTGCATCTTTCCTTCCAAGGAAAAGAACAGCTCTATGTTCATCACAGGGACTGTTGGTACCACAGCTATAAATAGGTTATTCTAAACAAATTAACATTAATTTATTTTTTTCGACCTCTTGAAATACAATAAATATTTGTAGTGATAGTTTTGTTGATACAAAAGTGACCCTTAGTAAAACAGAAAATTCTGCCATTGCTATTGGTATATGATAGTTATTCCACATGTGTGAAATAAGAAACATCTCTAAGATGGTTCATTAATTTTGAAAAGTGAGTGAATTGATGCATGTAAAAATGCTTAGAAGTTTTTTATTGGTTTATCTTATTCTCCCCTCCCCAAACTGGAACATTCTTTTTCTGGGAGATTCTTCTTTCTGAAATTGAGGTCTCTCAGAAGCCGTCACAACTTGTAACCTCTGCAAATCCACACATGTATATAGTAAAACTCTTGAGCTCGTTCTAACAGGATTAATGTATCTTGCCTGCACAAATCTCATTTAGAGTGATAATGCCAGGATTATCCTTAGACTAGCATAAAATTTCCTGGCAGTGGAAATGTACAGTCCCTGCTGAAGGACAAGCAAAATCACTAATTGGTTAAAAGAATTGGTATGCCCCTCTCTGAATGATCATCATCTGTTTAATGAAAATTCGGTTGATTTTAATATTATGAGTTATTGTGAAGCATAATTTGATGATAAAATATATTCCTATTAAAATAGTGGCATAGAGTTATCAGTCCTAAAACCAAAATTGATCTATTCTATCTGTTTTTATTTTTTATCATTAGATACACATTTATCTTCCTGCAGTCTTTCTAAGCATCATTTTGTAAGATTTTTCAAACCTGTCTGATTTTGACCATGTCCTCTTTCTGGAGGAGTTTGCACAAGTGTAGAAGCTGCTTTAGAATTCATGGTTATATTACTAATCCAAAGTTACTGAAGAAAATGGAAAGGCTTAATGGTGATTTAAAGTGTTTCAGTAATTTGTTTCCATTTCTTGTTCTGAAAATTTGGAGCATGTTTAAACATCTAGGGGTAGAATTGAAAGTTACCCTGAATGAAAAATAGTTCAGTAACTATTTGAAACTGCAGTTATCTCGGTTTCATTACTATGGTTTCATTTTTACATATGTCCATGTTTTTAAAGGAAAATGAGGTTAATTCCATTTTAGTTATTTCCTCATTATAGCTTTTCCTATTTAAATAAACCCTGTGGTAAATCTCAGTCCTCAGGCTTACTGGAAGAAAAATAACCTTTCAGTGTACTGAGTATCCACACTCCCTTATATGTAATATTTAGCAGGAGGAGCAGATAACTCTTTATACCCAACTGGGCTACACCTGCGCTCAGCAAAATCTGATTAATGCCCTGAAATCCACTAAAGCCCAGGGCAGTTGGTATTTGTTGAGAGGCTTGATTTTTTTAGAGAAGCAAGTTTTTCTTTAAGAAAAGCAGATCAAGCCAGTGCAGCTTGTTCTGCTGAGTGTTTGCTGAAGATATACGTGCAGTTTGATGTATTTTTCAATTTAACAATGGTATAGATATGAGAAGTATGAAGTAATAGTATCTTCCTTGTAATGGAATAGATGTTTTGCCAGTCTCTAGGTATATTATCTCCTAATGACAGCGAACACAGGGCAGTCATCAGTTTAGTTACAATACAGTTCTTGCCACATCTGGTTAGCCAGAGCTTTAGCTTGTGGCCTTTTCCTGTAAGTGACTATCAGACTGACAATTCTTCAATAGATACACAGCATGTAGTCACCTAGCATATGCCCTGATGTTGCAAACCTTTGTGCAAGGTGCTCATCCTTACTTAGGCAAGCAGCCTGTTGGAATGAATGGATTTGCTTACCTGAATAAAATTTAAATGCAGGTTTGCAATTTGGACATACACAATAATCAAGCATAGAACATGGTAGGTATTTAATTTATATGCCATTGAGGTAAATGGAGGACCTCTGCACAATACTTTGTAAGGAGGCTGGTTGGCGAGTTCTTAGTTGAATCTTTTCCTTTTCAGAGAACAAAATTATACCGACCATTTCCCATCTGTTGGTGCTAATGATAGTTCACATTTGTGTGGTTCCATTAATTTGTGGTACGTTTTGTGAGCTGATTAAATTATATACTCCAAGTAAGAAAACCTTACACGTTGTCTAAAGAGAACTGAATGCATGACTGTGCTTGCATTTTATTATCTTTGATATTTAGGAGAGAGTCATTGGTTTCCATGTCCTTGGTCCAAATGCTGGAGAAGTGACCCAAGGGTTTGCAGCTGCTATGAAATGTGGGATCACAAAAGAACAGCTGGACAGCACTATAGGAATTCATCCCGTGTGTGCAGAGGTTAGTATGTGAAGTCATCTCATAGCCCAGCTTTTGTGGCATTCTGGGTTAAGGTGCTGGCAATCTGAATAGCAGAACTCTGTTAAAGATGCCCCAATCTGGGAGAAGGCAGAGGAGAGGTAAAGACAGGATATGATCTGGTTTTAGTATTTAGAAATCTAACATTTGGGTTTAACCTGGGATTATTTTAAACTTTTTTGTTACTGTGTTCATTTGTGAGACGTTTATGGTCTCCCTAATCCAGTGCACTCTCTACTGGGAAGTACAGACTTTTCCTTCCACTCAAAGATCCTTTTATGAAGGCTTCAAATACTTTTCAACTAAAGGTGTTGTCAAAGCTAATGTTTTTAGATATGTGGGTTCAAAATAGGCTTATAAACTGGTGCTGTGAAAGGGGACAATTTCTCTATTCTGCCCTTTTAAAGATCTCTCCTTTACTTTTGAAGTGAAGACATGAGGCCACATGAAACACTTCTTGTGTTTATCTTGCTGTTCCTCATTAATGAAGAGCTTAATTTTCTCTACCGAGGAGGGGCGACAGCTACTCCCAGGTGTCAATCAGAGATGCTCCACTGATTTTTAGTAGCATTAGGAACAGTTTATATTAGCTGAGGATCTCTGCAAGATGTTTATGACCTTTGTATGTCTCTGTACAGAATCTCTGGTTTTACCTGCTTCATTAACTAGAAGTGTTGTAAAAGTGCACCAGGATGCTGGTCTGCAGAAGTGAAGTCCACTTCTCATGTGATTCCAAAATGATACAGCAATAGAATATGAACTTCATTAATGGAATGGACTGCTAGCAATCTGAATCATCTTCAAAGCAAACACAATACAGATTCTGTTCTGTGGGTTTTTTTTCTGTAGTATCATCTAATGGCGTTCTCAGAAGCACTTGAAGAGGGGTAGCAGGTCCTTATCTTAGCAGGGGCCCTGTGTAGGGGGAACTCTGAGGGAGGCATTCAAACCTGTGAACTCAAGTGGGATATTAGCATATGCAGTGTGAAGAGAGGATGATAGTCATAATTTATTCTGGACATCTGAGCTGCTAAAATTGAAACTGAATAGAATGGTGATTAGACATAATTTAGGGAGGTAATTTCAGATAATCATATTTGTTTGAGTGGGGGAGGAAGAAATTGGCTCAGGAGAAATACGCTCTTTAAAAGCTTCAGGGAACAGTGATCATTTTTTAGTGCCAGCCTTCAAAAGGTTTTTTTATGCCTGTTACTTAATTTAATCTCTTAAGCAGTAAACAAAAATCAAAGTGCAACATGGTACTCTTTGATTTTAAAAAATGCTTTTAAATTGTTTGGAATCTCTGAGGACTGCACATATCTAGATAAATAGAATGATGAATAATATCAGCATTATTTTTATCTTGAGACCATGTTAAAGCTAAGGAAAGGGAAGTCTGATCTGAGCAGGAAAGGGACAGTGTTGCAGGGTCAAATGCTGACATCTTCGCTGCTATTAGTACTAATTCTTGTGCAAAGTTTCCTCTGAAACATGGTATTATTGAAGTAGAAGAAGACTGTAAGACTGAGTCTCATTTCTCACTGCTTACAGATTAGAGCCAGATTTCACTTCTCTCATTTGAGCAGCAATTTATTCCGTAGAAAACATGAGTTTTGAATAGAATTTCTTGCAAGTAAAGTACAAATAACTGTAAGCACAGAGTTGGTAGGACCTCTGCCTCACAGAAAATTGCCTCTCAACCTTGACTGTAGTGCATTGCTTGAAATACAGGCGTGTATAATCAACTATCTGTGATGAAGGGAAAATGTCTTCTGAAAGCTGGGATGATTCTTCAAGTTAGTTAACCATGGCTTTCCAGCCATTGGATCTCAGGTTTTGACTTCACTTGAATAACACAAAATCTGTCAAAACCCTCATGTTTCCAGTAATTACCAAATGACTACCAGCTGGCTTCCTAGAGTTAGGGAGCTGTATGGTCCCTACAGCCACTTGGACTGGCTAACAGACCCAGAGCTTGCAGTCAGGCCAAGAAGAAAGCAGATAAATGTTGCACTTTTTAATCTTTCAAAGTGACATAATAATAAATGGAGATTCCCAGATGTTATCAGTCTGTGGATCAGAACTGAAGAGTTAGGAACACCATCTCAAGCCATACACTATAGCTTGAATATATTGCTGTTGTTCTGCCATGTATATTAGGCATGCATTTGTCTTCCTGCTTGGCATAATGCTTTACCTGCTTATAGAAAATGGGAGAGGTATATCATTTATTTATGTTCTCTGAAGAGCTGCTAGCAGCCTTAATTCAGCAAAGCTTCTACTTGGAGAAATGTAGGGCTTTCAGATCCCCATTATGCTTAGATACATCAGTGTTGTTTGCATAACTGAAACGTGTATGTACTTCATTCTGTGCTAAGTTTATTCTTCCTGATGGCTTTGATGATAGCTAATGATTGCAACTTTGAACCATTTAGGTAGAAGTGGTTTTGATTTCCCTTTTTCCTTTTTATATCTGTGCAAAGCTATGCAATTATTCGCACAGTAAAGTTCTAATATTAAACAAGTTTTTGTAAAATTCTTATTCTTGAATTTTGATACTTTTCAATTTTACAATAATTATTCTTGAATATGTTGTTTTCTTTAATGTGACTTGAAAGCAGTAAAGATTGGACTTTTTCCAAACTAAGTGTTTCTTAGCTCTTGTCCAGAGGATACAGATCCCAGACATAATACCTACATCAGCAGTCAGTTCCACATTTCTGTAATATCTAGAAAGGTACAGAGGCAAAATTTAGGTTCTCTCCAAATGCCATAGCCTTGGGTTAACTT